ATGACCAATCGAAGATTCGCGACAAAACCGGCAAACACTATTCAGCGTAAAAAAGTGAGTTTTCAATAAACCACTTTTTAGCCTTAGGGGTTGTTTGGCAGTATCTGAATTTTTAAGATCTGAATTTTTAAGAGGTTTGAATTTCTAAGAGGGTCTGAATTTTTAAGATCTGAAATTTTAAATGTTGTTTGGTTGGAGCATCTGAATTGCAGTGTTGAATGATAAAAATGACCATTTTACCCTTCTATGTTATTTTTTGCTGAATTCAACGTTTTTATTTATAAAATAACCGAATAAACTTCTTGAATAATTATAAAAAAAATAAAATCTAGGTTAACCATAAATCAAAATTAAACACAAATACAAGTCAAACATAAATATTTTCAAATCCATGAAATCATTCTATAGAATATTTTTATTATATTCAACAAACTTTTTTTTGCATACACATACCTTCTTATCTTTTAACTTCTTTTCCATCTTAAGTTCATCCAATTTCTTTTGTTTTCTCTGCCAAATATCTCATCTTTGCAACTTAAGAAGTCCAATAATTCATCAAATGCATCTCTCCAACAAAATTCAGCACATATTTTCAGTTAAACATATTACATAGCACATTTTCAGTAAATAATAGCATTTTTTGAGCAACACAACACTAAATTCAGCAAAACAACACAAAAAGCAGCAAAACAACACAAAATTAAGCAAAAATAGCACATTTCTAGTAAATGCAGAAATCAACACTTGTTTTATAGAGTACTTTCAACAAATCAACACATATATTGCATAAATCAGCACAAAATTAAGCAAAAACAGCACATTTCTAGTAAATGCCGAAATCAACACCTGTTTTATAGAGTACTTTCAACAAATCAACACACATATTGCATAAATCAGCACATCTATTTCAGAAATCAGCACCTATTAGCTTTTCCACCAAGAAATCATCACATTTTTTAGAGTATTATTTCAGCAAATCAACACATATCTGCAGAAATCAACAAATCAACAGGTATATTTCATAAATCAGCACCTATTTTCTTTTCCAGCAAGAAATCAACACATTTTTTCTAATATTTTTCAACATATTTTTTACCAAACAATTAAAACGCTATTTTTTGAGCAACACAACACTAAATTCAGCAAAACAACACAAAAAGCAGCAAAACAACACAAAATTAAGCAAAAATAGCACATTTCTAGTAAATGCAGAAATCAACACTTGTTTTATAGAGTACTTTCAACAAATCAACACATATATTGCATAAATCAGCACAAAATTAAGCAAAAACAGCACATTTCTAGTAAATGCCGAAATCAACACCTGTTTTATAGAGTACTTTCAACAAATCAACACACATATTGCATAAATCAGCACATCTATTTCAGAAATCAGCACCTATTAGCTTTTCCACCAAGAAATCATCACATTTTTTAGAGTATTATTTCAGCAAATCAACACATATCTGCAGAAATCAACAAATCAACAGGTATATTTCATAAATCAGCACCTATTTTCTTTTCCAGCAAGAAATCAACACATTTTTTCTAATATTTTTCAACATATTTTTTACCAAACAATTAAAACGCTTCACTTACAGCAACAAATCAACAAGATATCAGAAAAAAAACAAAAGAAAAAACACAATGCTCTTCATTAATATAGATTTCAGCAAAAAAAAATAATAAACAAGAGAAGAAAGAGGAGAAATAGCGATTCCTGAAGAATGAAGCACGAACCTGCTTTATCGCTGAAGGACGGTAGCGCCGGAGGTGAGGCAGGGTGGTGACGGCCGGAGAGATACAATGGGGAGGAGCGGTCTCTTGTAGATAACGAAGGTAGAGAGCGAGCAGAAAAAAAAGCGAGAAAGAAAAGGATGTGTGGGTTTTGGTTAGGGATAGAAGCGTCTCTTTTTTTTCAGATGAGGTTTTAGATCTGATTCGGTAAGTGGTGTTTTTCAGATTAAGATGCTATATTAAGTGGTAAACAAACGCTCTTAATCTTACAGATTCAGATCTAACTCTTATTAAGAGGTATTAAGTGGTAAACAAACAGGGCCTTAGTGATCAAAATGAAAGTCGTAGTATTCGTTAAACAGAGAATTTCCATAAAAAGAATGTCCAAATCTGACTTCGTATGAGGAAGTTATGATTTTTCTAAGTTTCGGAATACTAGTAGACAGCTAAAAACTCGAAATAAAAATCGACCGATATTTAGCCGAAACAACCTAAATGAGAATCGAAGGTGTCGTCAATATTAGTACAACGGTAAAAAGACAGACAAAAACGGACATCGAATGAAGAAGTTATGAATTTTTAACGGATTTTCCTGTCCCGGTCTGTTAAAAATAATAATATTAAAAAATAAATTCAAAATTAGCTGATGAAGTCTAAACGAAAGTTGTAGAGTATATTCTCGCCTACGCGTACATATAAAGAACGTCAAAAACAGAGCTCGTATGCGAAAATTATGGATTTTAGAAGTTTGGGACACAAAATTCGAGAAAATCCCGAAATCCGAGAAATTTCGCACGGCTCAGGTTCAGCCATGTCACCCTCGCTCTCTGCTCGCCTCGTGTCCGACCCGATGATTCATCCGATGCGTGGTCCAGCCGAAATCCGACGTGTGTCGCATCCGTGGAGGCGTCCGAAGCGAGCCACGTCGCCCTTCCCTTGCGAGCCGCCCCGTGTCCGAAGCAGGTGAATCATCCGAAGCGTTGGACCAATCTGAGGCCGACACGTGCCCTTCTCCCTTTTCCTCCGGATCCGAGCCTCACACTATATAAGGGAGGGTGCGAACCCTCCCGGTTTTTGTTGGAATTTTGCCCATTTCACCCCTAAATTAATATTTCTTTCATTTCAACTTCCCTCGCAGCCCTAAGATCATATCCAACACCCGAAATACGTTCCGATGTGCCCAAAGAGCCTGAGAAATTTATCTTTTCGGTTTGAATCTCAAACCTTGCAAGACCCGGTTTTCAATCTATCTCTTGGTTTTCATCGAAGAAACTTATTTATAGGAACGAAGTGCTGCCCAAATTACTATTTTAACCCCCGGTTAATTCACGGTGAGTTCAATATATAGGAACAATTGTATGTTATGTGTTATATGTGCTATGTGTTTTTCAGTATTATTATTTCAGGTTATTTTCCCATGTTATTATTTCGTGCTATTTTGATAGCAAAGTTATACATTTGACCATGTGATCAGTGAAAAGACTTAGATTCACGTTGGTATTGGTATGTATCCCCTGGCCATGAAGAGCATGTTTCCGTAAGAGAATGACTTCTATTCTATGGCACTGGCAGAAGGTTAGACAAGGCTGCAAGCCTGAAATCTACAAAAATGTTTAATCAGAAATTGTATGTCTTCTGTGCCATTTGGGCCGAAGCTTTATTGAAATTGTTATGTCATATCGATTGTATATCTTTGAACCAAGTCATTGATTTCACATATGCCTTTGTTGTTCCTCCTTGCTTCTTCCATATTGATGTATATATATGACATAATATTATTTTGTATCGATTATTGAACTCACTAAACGTCATCGTTTACCCATCTAATTGTTTAATAATTGCAGGCGATAAATAACTAGTATAATTATATACTGATAAAAGATTTTGAATAGTTTGAAACTATTATATTTAGTACTCATGCATATATAAAACTATAGTATCCTGTGTACTTATGTAATATATATATATATATATATATATATATATATATATATATATATAACACTTTTTAATAGTCGGTTTGTATCCAGAAGTTTGTAATCGCATTATCAATGTAAAATATTGTTTATAAATATGCATGTAACATATTTTGGAGTAATAACGTGTAGTGTATGAAAGAGGTTCTTTCAATATATATATATATATATATATATATATATATATATATATATATATATATCAAAGTTGTAAAAATCGCTTGACGGTTGCTCGACGGTCGACTAGTGTGAATGGATTAATCGGTATTGGCAAGGATTAATCGAGTATTAATCGGAGACCATAGATTATTAATAAAATATTAAAATTAATTAAATATTAATATATCTTAAGAAAAACAAGTACTTCAAAATTAGAAAATAAGAAAAATTATAATTTGAAAATTTAGAAATACAAAAATATGAACATTTAAGTATAATATTTGAAATTTTGAAAATTTGAAAATTTCGGAGTAAAAAGAAAAGTTGGGTTTTTGATTTTTTTTAAATTCTTTTGACTTTTTTTTTTTTTTTTACTTTTTTGACTTTTGTTGACCGATTAATCCCGCCAAGGCCGATTAATCCCGCTAAACTCAATTAATCTTAAATTTCCGATTAATGTGCTTATCCTCGACGGTTGGAGAACGGCAAACGATTAATCCACGATTAATCCCGATTTCTACAACCATGCTATATATATATATATATATATATATATATATATATATATATATATATATATATATATATATATATATATAGGGTGAGGTTCAATAGAAAACCATAATTAACCAAGGAACCAAGGAACCAATCTTTTTTTCAATTTTTAGAACTTAATTTTTATAAAAAAAAAACTAAAAATATAGAAATTTATAACTTTTTATCATTTTTCCAATTATATCAAATTCGATAAATATTTTTTTTCGTCAAGTACACAATGTGAATCTAATTTCACACGATGAATCCGAAAAATATATTTAACATTCACAATGATAAGTTATGAATTTAGATATTTTTAGTTTTTTTTTCCGATAAAGAATAAGCTCTAGAACTTGAAAAAAAATGGTTCCTTGGAGAACCAATAATTATGGTTCTCTATTGAACTTTTCTATATATATATATATATATATATATATATATATATATATATATATATATATAAATAAAAGATCAAATGAGAACAAAAAAATGTTAGAAACACATAAAACCAATTTTTTTAGTGATATAGTACATATTTATAGATATTAAAATTATCATTTTCATCGACCAACAGTTAAAAGAAGCAATGGCATGGTTGTAAATAACAACTCTTATCCTAGTTTCATAAACACTAATAATATCTTGAAAACCAGATCTGATTCTTACAATTTTCAAAAACTCAATCTCTTCCTTCCTTCTCTCTCCTTCTATCGCCGGCATCCTCCTGCAATTGTTGCCGCCACTAATGTCCGCCTCATCACCGGATCGTCGGAATCTAAGTTGGCACCAGTGTACCCATCCAGATATGTTAGTTTTACTCTGTATGCACCAAATCAACCGCTAGCATCATCCTTTTGCATCTCGAGATCTGTGGACTTATGTCGCTAATCGCCACCACCAACGATGACCATAAGACCACCGATGATATGCTAGGCTTGATCACGAGCTCCTACGAGCGCTGTAGATAGATCTATAAGTGTCGGTGAGTGGTGAGGCCAGATTTCAGAGCTCCGGTGAGTGGCGATGCCAAATCTACGAGCTCCGGTGAGCGAAAACTCTGCCTCCTCTGGCGAGTGACGGTGGTCCACTGCTATCGTCTCCTTTTAGTCCTGGTTCGTCTCTGATTACATACAACTACATTGTTTATCTCCGACCACCACTAGCGCTGCTCGCCGCCCACTATTCGCCAGAGAAGAAGCAGCTTCATGTGCTTCAGGAGAAGGAGGCATTTATGCTAGAGAGATAGATTCATGTAATATTTCAGTGCTTTCTTTTAATTTTCTGTGAGTGTTATCATCTATAGATACTAGACATGTTATAGCTTCATACATGTTTGCCTTTTGCTTTCTATTACTGCAATATAGGACAATATAGGACCTGCAATATAATTGAGCAACTACACCGATTCCTCTGTTCTTCGCGATCTTCCAATTTCCATTCGTGCAAAGGTAGACTTTCAATCTTTTTCTTATTAAGACATTTTATGCTCTGCAATCATTAGAATTATATGTTTAATGATATTGTAAATGTGATTCTTTACATATATCTCAAACGCTATACAAGTCATACATTGAAAAAGTTTCACTTTTCAAAGGATGCTCTTTGGAATTCATAAATCAAGTTGTAACTAAAGTGCATGAAGAGTTTTTTCTTCCAGGGGAAGTCATTATGGAACAAGGTAATGCGGTTGAGCAGCTTTATTTGATCTGTCATGGTGAACTGGTATAATTTCCTTCTCTTTTTAATTAAAATTAGTAAAACTTGTGGTTTTTTAATTAAGAATTATGAAATGAAATTATATATGTATAAGAGGAAATTGGGATATGTGAAGATGGATCAGAAGAGAGTTTATGTGATTTAGTGTCTGAAATGGTGTATTAAATTGTGACTCTTATAGATCTGATCAGATATGATGTTTTATGGTGATTATGGATATGATGTATGTGGTGCACACAAAGTGTTTGATGGAATGTCTCAACCAAATTCAGTAAGCTATTAAACTGTGAATATATGTTTTTAATGTATGAATTTGTGAATATTTAAGTTATTAAGTTGTGAATGTGTGTTTTTTATACACTAAGGTGTGAATTAGTGTCTGGGATATTGAATTAATATGTGATTTAGTGTCTGAAATGGTGTATTAAATTTTGAATTCTATTTTTTTTTATCCAGATCTGGTTTTTGAGGGAAGGATGTTGGCGGTGTTGGCACAAATTGTTGGTGGTGTTGATGCTGGTGGTGGTGGTAGAGTAAGGATATTTCTATTTCTCACTCATTTTCTTTGTTCATTTCAGATAAGTTATAATCTTTTATGATTCATGTATACATATTTTTTTATGTTGGCTTCTAAAATATGAGATATTTATGCATGTATTAAACTATGAATGGGTTGTTTAGTACACTGAAATATGATATTATACCTGTAAATGAGTTTTGAATGTATTGTATGAAACTTTAAATTTTGTGTATTAAGCTGTGAATTTTTATTTACAACTTAATATAATAAATTCATAATGTAATACACATAATGCCTTCAGATATGAACGTATACATGTAAGTTTTAAGTTGAGAATATAGTTGTGAATATATATTTTTATTTGTATTAAACTGTAAATTTATCGTATTAAACTGTGAATTTTTTGTATTAAAATTTGAATTGATTGTATTAATCTGTGAATTTTTTTATGGAATTTGTTTTTGATTCTATAAGAAGAAAGAATAAATATATATATGATATTCTTTAATTTTAAATAAATTACAAACAATTTAAACTATGAGTATTATTAAATTAAACTTTGAATAAGCGATACCCTCTGGATCTAAAAGTAAAAATGTATGTTTTAAGTTAAGAGTATGTAATTATTTGCATTAAACTATTAATTAGTATATTAAGGTATGGATTTTATGTATTAAATGATAATTGATTGTATTAAGTTGTGAACTAATTGCATTTGTTGTGATTTTTATTATAAATTTGTGTTAAAATATGAATGATTCATGTATGAATTTTTGTATTAGTTTTCTTGTAAATATATTTATTTTTTATGTGTATAAGTATGTAAGAATGCATTAGTTTTTATAATTGTTTTACATTAAATTTAAAATGAGTGAAATAGGTTTGTTAAATTGTTAATGTATTATTTAAGCTGTCAATGTATGACTTGATGTATAGATCTGTTTTGGAAAGAAGATGGTCGCGATTTTGCCATTTTCTTACGAAAAAGACAAAAATCAGGATTTCAACATATTTACTGATACTCACTATACATGTTTACTAATAAAATGAAGGTTTTTAGGGTTCTTAACTTTTTTTGGTTCTCATTTGAACCACTCCCTATATATATATATATATATATATATATATATATATATATATATATATATATATGACATTTTAATAGGCAAAAAAAGATTCTAAAAGAATCATTAAATTAGTAAGTTGTAATTGTGACAGAATAATTAGGCAGAATACATACAACTTAGTAAATGTTGACATAATACATACAACATAGTAAATTAGCAAGTAACATAAATTTATTTCATGACCATTCCTTTAGTTAGGCATGTCGAAAATTATGATACCTAAATAAAAAAAACTTTAGTAATTCTGTTGTAATGCATGCCACATGGTCAGACTCTCTTTCAGGCATTTCCACAAGCATTTGTCGTGCACTTCTTCTCACACCTAAAACCAATTAAACCAATCTTAATCAGCAATAATAAATTGAGCAGATATGTTAGAAAATTAGTCATGATTGTTCAAAGAAACGCATGAATTATACCTCTTGGAAAAAATTTAATAGATACAAAAAATAAAGCCAATGATAATAGTAAGATTCAAAACTTCAAATTATGGTGCAAACCTGTAAAAAGGAATAAAAGAATATATGATTAAACTCTCAACCCACACCTATATTTAACTGCAAAACGGAATACAATCATTACTTCATCTTGGAGTTATTATCTACAGTTAGAGAAAAAAGGTTTTTTTACCTTTTGATAACATTTAACTACTTGTTTATGCTCGTTTGCACCTTTTAAAGCTTCTCATGTGAAAATCATCTCAGATTAATATCCCAAAAATCGACCAATTGCACCTTTTAAAGCTTCAGTTATAACTCCAACGATAAAAACAGAGAACAACAGCCATGTGGTAATTAATCAACACATGAACATAAAATTAATCTAATTCAATACATAGAGGATAATGAGAATGAAGTTGAAAGATTTGATCACCCAACACTACATGGTAAAGATCATAAACATCTATTCAACGAAGATAGAATGCCAGGAAGATACTAATTGGCATTAAAACTGAATATAGCTACTTGAAGGGACATGAAATAAGAGAAATCAACACTGGAATTGCGTTTGTATGTGGAAGATGGAGAAGATTAACTTACTGGAACAAATCAAAATGGGATGGTGCTAGGCTTCATCGGATACTTGAGATCGGCCATCATGTATTTTCCGATAAAACTATGGAAAGGATGGAGAAGACCTAGAAGCCCCATGATCGCTATTAGGAGGACCGGAGGTAGGCGGTGGATACAAGGAGGAAGGCAGCCGGCGACAGAGTAGGTGGCAACGAAGGGGAAGGAGTAGGTGGCGGCGATCGGTGATTGAACGTGAAATAAAAATGTCGATTCCTTTTGTGTTCTGGTGAATCTTGTAGGGTAAAAAAACCTGATTGCAATTTTATAGGGATTTGATTTGATTTTAATTTTGGAATTTATTTAATATACATACAATAATACTAATTTACCCTTATTGATTTATTTAAAAATTTAATTTGTGCTAAATTCTGATTGGTTCATATATGCACACAATATTTGTTGAAAATATTTGAACCTAACTCTATCTCTACCCTAATAAATGAGAATGATTTTACCAAATGTCCTCTCATGCAATTAGCCACATGTCATTTTTTCATAATTTTGAAATATATTTATTTTCTACTTGTCAATTACTTCAATTTTCATTTCCAAATATATCATTAATTTAGTTTCCATAAATTAAACCTACCATAATGACTATTAATTTTAAATTTTAAATTTTAAATTTTAAATTTAAATTAAATTTACAGTTTAAAACATTTGTGTTTAACATTTTGTTATAATTAATCCGTTTAGTACACAGGTCTGATAAATAAATATATAATTTTAATTTTTGCATTTTTTTTCTCATAATTTTCATTTATTTCAAATTTCAAATTCAAATAAACTTTTTAATCGTTCATACTTAACATTTTGTTTTAATCAATCCGTATAATATACGGGTCTCACAGCTAATATATATATATATATATATATATATATATATATATATATATATATACTATCTTATAAAAGAAATCTTACTATTTTCTAAAAATAGATTGAATATAATAATAATATTTTTTTAAGACGTTCAAACCATTAAGCTAAAAGTACAAGTAACCATCAATAAAATAATATTAAATTTTAAACTCAATTCTATTTAGATTAAATTGTACAAAAAAATAATACATAATTACAAGTATCCAATCCAGTCATTAAAGATGTTATTTCATTTTTGATGGGGCTCTTTATCTTTACTATCTCTATTTTATTTTATTTTACCTTCTCTATTTTATTTTACCTTGTCCTCCGCCTTTATCTTCGGAAATGAATCCCAAATTTGAAAACTCCGATTCTCACTCGTCCCTTTCGTCTTCATCTCTGATAAATTCAAGATATACGTTTCTACTTCATCATCTTCGCTATTCATAGGCTTTCTTGATCTAGGGTTTCTATATCCCTTATAAAAACCCTAGCCCCAATCCTGCTCATTGTCGTCATCACCAACCATCACCCCTGCTCATTCTCGCCACCAACAACCACCACTCCTGGCGGTCAAACTGCTAACCACCACTTGGTAACCCTTACAACTATCCATCATCATCGTTGTAACAATCCATCGTCACCACCTCTATCGAACCATCTACCGTTTGCTGCATTCCTTTCTCGCCATTCAAGAAAAGCTCCAAAATGTTGAAAACAAGAATGGAAAGTTATGGGTTCTGTCAAATCCAAACTTGGTTCCTGGTAGTTTTTCTCATTTTCAATTATCGATACAACCTCTAATTTTGTTTTTGTACAATAATTTTGGTTATATTGTTTCTAATTGGTTTTTTGTTGTATGTATGGTTTCTAAAATTCTTCACCTATAAAGGATTAATTTGGTTTTTTTGGATTTTTTCTCCGCTTATAGATAAACCTCTCTCCAAATTCATCATCCTTTCTTCTCAATCTCTCTAAACCCTAGCCACCACCGTTTTCCATCTTCCTTATCTCCATCTCTTCCACCCCCGATAAGAAACTATAAAGTAGCTGCCAATCAACACCGAACTTCGAACATCAAAGACTAATAAAAATGAGAAAGAGAAATTCAACTATTTTCTGCTTCAGGGTCGTAAACAGGTATGTCTCTTATTCATGATCGTATATGGGATAGAACCAAATTATATCGATTCAGTTTACGAAACGATTTGAAAACCTAAATCTTGGTTTAGTACCGCATACGATTCGGTTTTCAAAATGATTTTTAATTCCTTTTCCATTAAATCTTTGTACGTCTCCTTAAGATTTCTCTGTGCAGTCGCTTTTCCCTATCTATTTCTCTTCTTAGGTCGGGTTTTATGGGCTTTATGGTTTATTGTTTTCTTTTGTTGCAGTTCAATTTGATGTTTATGGTTGGTGTTTGCCTCTACAAGTTTTATAACAATTTGCTAACTTTGTGTCATTGTATGGTTTTAAAACTTATACTTATTTGTGTGTGTATGTCGATTTTGTAGATCTATACACCAACGTAATTTTGGCCCAGAGACGCCTCAATAATCAGACACAAAAAATAGTAAGCTTACGTTATATTTTTTTTCAAGAATCTTTTCAAATTTCAAATTCGGGCCATATGATGTTTTTGAAAGTCAAGGGCATAATTGTAATTTGAAAAATGTTAATTTTGGTTTTAGTAGCATGCAACTGACTGTTAAATCTAAATTTGTGTATAATGAAATGAAATTGTATGCTTTATTGTTATTATCCCTATTGCTCTCAGTTTCTAATTGGAATTCCCCATTTTTGCAGTGAACTGATTGTGTCACATATAAATAAAAAGAAAGGGGTGTAATTTATTTGTAATTTTGATTAAATTTTCTTTTTTATCCATTTTCGTGGAATCTTCATTGTAATTAAAGGTGTGTATTCTATTTGTAATTTTGATCAAAGTATCCTTTTAATCCATTTTAATATTAGATTTAAGTGTTTCAGGCATAAGAAACATGACATGTTTATTGAAGCCTATGGTTACATATGCTAGGTATTTTAAAAAAGAAAAAGGATTTGACGCATGACATTTTAGGGAGTAGGGTAACCCCACCATCTTGCTTTACTATGGACATCATTTGTGGGCTGAAAGGTCAAAAGCCTTATATAAAAAAGTGTCATCCTAAAAAAT